TAAATCTAATAAAATTATCTAATGTAATTGCTCTAATAAAAATAACTAAATAAAATATATAGTTTTTGTCTATTGCTATTTCGATATTTTTGAAATAATATTGCTAAAAATTCGATCATTGTTAGTTTGTATAGATAATCTAATAAAATTGTTTAACATGTTTTTGTGTTCAATAATCTATTATAAATAGACCATATTTTTTATACTGTTTCTACATGTTTTCAATTAATCTCAACAAACATGTCTTAACATTTTATCAACATGAATTTGATAGTAGCAGTGATAATGATGAAAATAATAATAATAATCATTATTACTATTATAATAATAATAATAATAATAACATTCTGTAAGTATATATGTAAAGAAGAAAATACTTAATGATAATCAAATAATTAATTATCTATTAATTATAATATTATATTCGTAGGTGGTTGTAGCAACAAGTAGAAGACCAGGCTGCAACAATTACAGAGCTTAACCATATGGCTCTTGACTATTTGCAGCAATTCGTTTGTTGGGAGCAGGAGCAAGAGGCTCTTATTAAAGAACGAGATATGTATCAGACTTGGTTCAAGGAGTGTGATGCTGCTTACTGAGATCTTCTTCGCTGGTTCGAGGAAGAAAGAAAAAGAAGAGAAGATAATAATGAAAGAAGAAGGGTAGAAGAGAAAAATGAGAGAGGGAGAAGAGGTTGGGGTGTTTTTGTGTATAGAATAGTTTCTTTTTTTATTGTCTTTTTCTATTTTTCTTTTGTAAATAAAAAATAAAAATTTTGCTTTTTCTGAGTTTTTTGTCTTCTTTTAGAATTTTCTCTGAAAATTCCAATTTTCTGGTAATAAATAAATAAATATATATATTAAAGGTCTTCTAGTAATTATTATCTAGAAAATGGTCTTTTTCCTTGTCTTGGGTAGATTTTTCTAGACTTCCGGGTTAATTTTGGTCAATTTGGTATTTGTGACATAGCTCACGTGATTGATGCCTATAAATATGTAAACTAATTGTCTATTGATTTTGGTTTCTTTCTTTTCTTTCAGTCATTTTGCTTTCTTTTGTTCTTTTTTTTCCATGTTAGATTTAGTTCTTTAGCTTCTGGCTATTCTTCTGGTTTCTCTTTTTTTTTTTCACTTAGGTTCTTGTTGCTAATGGCTTTGTCTTGTCGTCATGGCTTTGGTAGAGCATTCCCTTTCGATGATATCTTTAGCTACTAGAGACTTGGCGAATATCGTTTCAAGTCATTTGTCTTTAGCTTGAGGCTTAACGTAGAGTGACTTGGCTTTTAATCCTTTGGATAGGGCTTTCGTTGCTTAGATCTAGCTTTCCAGTTTCAGACTTAAGATTTCTTTTGCTATTTCCGTGTTGGTTCCAGATCTTTGCTTAGATTTGAAAATGTAGCGTAGATCTGTGGTGGCTTTGTTTGTGCAATACCTTGGAGCTTTGGAGTATTATTAGTTTTTTTTTTTTTTTTTTATATATATTGAATCGTTATCTTTATTTTTCTATATGTTTCATATTTTCTTTTTCAGAGTGTTATTTCTAGAATCGTCGTCGTCTTGGAGTTGTTGTGCATTTCGTTGTTCATTCTTGGATTCGTCTTCATAGATGCTGTAATATGTTGATGTTATCAGAGTCTTGAGCATTTTTGTAGTAGTTTAGCTTCTTCTGGGCAAGCTACTTAAGTTCACGGCTTTCTTAAAATATGCAAGATTAATTGCAGTTGCAAGACTTGACAAATATGTGGGTGATTGAAGTTTAATATTTTTTTTTTGAATTGTTGCAATAATTTCTTTAGCAAAATATTCTCAGCTATTTCTTTTCAAATATTAATAGGTCTTTTCAGTGTTAGAATCTGCTGTCTTCTAAGTGCTGTACTAATATTATTTACTTTATTTTTTTTTATATGCATGTGGAGCTATTTACAGTATGATTATAAGGTGGGCTTAATCACGAAGTTATATGGTACAAAAACCTTATAGGTGCACTGTATTCTCTATCTTTTTTTTTTTTTTATATTTTTTTTTTAACTTAGCTTCTTCTTTTTTTTTTTGAGATTTTAGCTATCCAGAGAAGAATCTAGAATTACCCGGGTTTCTATCGAAACCTTTGAAGTGAACAGAGGATAGAGTTTTTTAGGACTTGGTGGCCAACATCGATTAGTCGAATATGATGGATATGTGATTTGTGGGTCTTTCCAAGATTTCTCAGCAGGGTCCTTTCGGTATTGTCTTAATTGAAGTGTCATTTTGTCGATTTCAGAAATCGTCGTTCATCCTGAGAATCGTATATCCTTTTTATGATTCGTTTTTTTTTCTGTTTGTTTTGTTGTTTGTTTTTTTTTTTTATTACTTTTTTTTCAGAATCTTTCTGTTCTTGTGGCATTTGATTAATGAAGATTCTTTTTCTTTAGGCTCTTTTTCTTTTAGAGTTCTTTTTAGAGTTGTCCGGGTTTTCATCAATCTTGTAAAAGAAAACTTCCAGGTAATTAGGAAATAAAGTTCCTTGGACCTTGGTGATGAATGGAATACTGAATAGTTGAGTATTAAAGATATGTGACGAAATTGGGCTGAAAGATAAGTATAAGACTTGTTCTTTTTTTTTTTTAATAACCGATTTCTTTAGATAATTAAACATAAGACTGAATGATATAGTAATAAATATAATAATAATATTCTTTTGCTGAAATTTCAGAGAGCTAAGACTTCTCCAAATAGAATATTCAAAGTTCGATTATCGATACATGAGACAAAGATTTAAGTAGATTATCCTTATGATCAAAGAACTTGAGGACTTTTTCTGGTGGAACTTCTAAAGTTCGGCTATTACTACTATATATGTCCGAATGAACAATGTATTAGATAATTAGGTAGTTTATAGTTAGAGATAGGATTGGGTTTAGAGTTAAATAGAATTGGGGGTAAAGAGTAGTTAGTGATTATAGATAAAGTTATGTTTAAATGAAATAAATCGGGTTTAATGATAAGAACGAAGGAATGAATTGGGGTTTGAGTTTGAAATGAGTTGAATTGGTTAGATTAAAATAGATAGAACAGGTTGAATTGGGAATAGAGGAAATAGGATAGTTTATAGTTAAAATTCGAGGTTTGTGAATTTAATAGGTTGGGTCAATGTTAGGGATAGATAGAACAAGTTTAGTTAAGGATGAGAATTTTAGGTTCGAAGAATATGAATCGGAGATTTTTAGATTAAGAATGGGAGAAATGAATTGGGTTTTAAGAGTAGAGATAGATAAAATGAGTTTAATTGAAAAATGAGTAAAATGTATTGGGTGATAAAGAATGGGTTTATGATTAAGAGTAAGGTTAGGCTTAAATAATATGAATTGGGTTAATTTGGAATTGGTGTTAGGAAAGGTTTAATAATCGAATTTGTAGGTTAGAAATAAAGTCAAGTTTTGAGTTAGATAGAATGAATTAAGTGTCAAATATGTTTTAAGATAAAATTAGGGAAATCAAATAATCAAAGTTATAGTACTAAAAATATTTGGAATGTCTCCCAATTATTGTTAACTCTTAGTTTCTTCAGGTTTAATGTTAGATAAAATGAATAGGATTGAAAATAGATTTCGGATATTTAGAATATTGGGTAGTTCGGAATAAGGATTTAGAATTAGGTTTAAGATATCATATATGCGCATTGAATATAAGTAAATAAATAATTAATAAAGAAATTTGCTATTTGCTATAGTAATATTATAAATGTTCATATGTGTATATATGCTAAAAACTGAAAATTGGTCATAGATTCTTTGCTTTGATTAGTTACATGATTTAGGTTTTCATTTTGAAAATTTGAAGCAAGTGCTAGATTTAAGCAGTGATAAAATTTTTCTAGCTTTGATAGTATCATATAGACTTCCAAGACATAAAATTTTCTGAGTTTATATTTACAGGGTTGGAATTACTTACGCCTACACTTTGGCTCGTGAGTAATCCGTGCTTAACATACTTGGTTAAGGTTTGCAGTAAGCTGCGAGCTATGGGTCCTTACACCTACACTTTGGCTCATGGGGTACCCATCTAAAAGATCTAATCTCGGAGTTGCAGTAAGCTGTGAGCTCTGGTTGCTACGAAAGCAGAGGCTTCAAGTGGCCCTTCTCTACAAGTCTCTTTCAACTTGACAGGACTTTTCAGATGCTATGAAAGCAGAGGCTTCAAGTGGCCCTTTTGTACAAGTCTCTTTCAACTTGACAGGACTTTTCAGATGCTATGAAAGCAGAGGCTTCAAGTGGCCCTTCTGTACAAGTCTCTTTCAACTTGACAGGACTTCTAAGTGCACTATTACTCCTTTATTAATAGGCGTTCACAAATAAATAAAATAATCTTTAGTAGTAGAAGAGAATATCCAAGTTAATGGGTCCAATATTTTTGAGCTTCTTGGGAGATTTTTCATAATTCCAGAGGAGATTTTTTAGATTTTTGGTAGAGACTTTTATATATTTCCTGGGGAAAACCTTTAGAATTCCGGTGGAGACTTTTTTGGCTTTTAGCTAGAAGGCACCAAAATATTACAAGTGGGTAGCCTTCTTAATTTACCACCTGCAACATAGCACACAGTGACAGGGATCTCTAAAATAACAGGGCGAGATATAAAGCGATGTGGAAGTAGAATGTTTTCTCACTATGGCAGTTTGGTATATTTATTAGAAGCATAGAGATATGGTTTACTTTAGAGCAAAGATATATTTATTTATTTATGATACAATGCTTAAATACAAAGCTATCTATAGGTATCTATTTCTATAGAATCCTAATATTTTAAAACATTGCAGGGAACAAATCCTCCTGTACAAGAAAAGTAAAAGCTAGAGTTTATATAGCTTTTACAATACATATAAAAAGTATAAAAAGTACTAAACGTATAAAAGGTATAAAAGGTACAAAAGGTATAAAAAGTATAAAAGATATAAAAGATACAAAAGGTATAAAAGGTACAAAAGGTATAAAAGGTACAAAAGGTACAAAAGATATTGTTACAATCTTCTGGATCTAAAAAATAGAGATAAAATCTCTAATATGTTCTATAATATTAACTCATTCTATAACAGTATGTAAACTGTTTATTAATAATCTTATTAATTATTTTGAATATATTTTATTTTATTTATTTATTTTTTTTTAGAATACTGGTTTGCAAAAAGGTTCTGTAAGTTCTTCTGCAATATCAAAAGCAGAATTGTTAAATGCGATTCAAGAAAATTATGACAAATTATCTTCAAATAGTGTTAATGATAATGAAAGCGATTATGATAGCGATAGTAATTATGAAGAAGAATAAGCTCTAAGTATTTCATATACTTATATTTGTTATTAAATTGCAAAAACGATTTGAAATATGCATGTATTTAGTATTAGTTCTAGATTTTGCTATGTATTGCTTAATATATTAAAAAATATATATTATAATAAATAATATTGTACTTAACATAATAATACATATTTTAAAATAGTATTAGCTAATAAAATAAGTTGTTTAACATAGTAATATGTATTTTTAAATAGCATTAATTAATAAAATAGTTGTTTAATGCATTTTTAAGTTGTTTATTAATGCTGTTAGTCTGTATAGGGTTCGTTTTCCTACTTCTGTTAGTGTTAAATAATAACTAGCATTAGTTAATACTTTTCAAATACTTTTCAAACTTCCTGATGCATGTGAATCTCTCTTATGGAGAAGTTAGGACTTATATATCAATCACCACAATTGTTAACAAGCATAATCACAAACTATATATAGAAATACAAGATTTTGAGATCAAATATCATTCTCTTACAAAGGATACTCAAAAAGAAATAGAAATTATAATGAAATATAGAAACTTATCTATTACTTCTTAGTGCAATATTTTAAAAGCATGTTTTTTTAATTTGCAATTTCTTAATAGTAACCTTGCTAATTGTATCCAGAAATTTAAAAGAGATAAGCATGAAGTGAAAGATGTATCAAAACTTCTTAACTTCTTATTAGCTAATAAAATGGAAGATCCTAGATGGGCTATGGAATTTGAGTTAAATGAAAATAACAGACTTACACGATTATTTTGGATGTTTTCTAAACAAATTGACTTGTATCTAAAATATTATAATGTGGTTATTAGTGATAATATGGCAAAAACCAATCAATATCAAATGCCCTTGGGGCTATTTGTGATTATTGACAATAATAGAAAAACACGACTTGTTTGTTAGGCTTTAGTGAACAATAAGACTCTTGATACTTATAGTTGGACTTTAACCTATATAAAAAATACTACAAAAATAGAACCCTTAGTTATATTTACTGATGCAGATCTAGTACTCAATACTGCGATCTGTGTTATATTTTTTAAAATATATGCTATACATTGTATTTTCCATATTGAACAGAATTTACCTAAGAACTTAAAAGTTAAATTAGGTAACAAATAGGAAGACTTTATGAAAACTTTTTACCAATGCCATAATAGCCTTTGCAAACCACTTTTTTATAAATGTTGGGAAGAAATACTTAACAAATATTCAATAGCAAAAAATTATTTGTTATATATATTGCATCCATGTAATAAATCTTGAGCATATGCATATCTTTCTAAAATTTTCACTGCCAGGATTAAAAGTACAGCTTGGGTTGAATGCTATGATTGGGTAATCAAAAAGGAACTAAAATCAAATAGTATATTGTGTGAACTTGCAAATTGCTTTGAAAAATGTTTAGAATCAGAAACACAATGAAATAGATATAATCAGTATAAAAACTTTACAACAATTGCAACTATGCCTACTGCTAGACAAGATCTTTTCACTAAAGTAGTTAATATTATTGAAAAATATCTAACAAAGACAATTAATAATATAGTAAAGGTTACACTATCTAGTAATAGGAGCAATGCTACAATAAATCCAAGGAATTGGTATAACTGAAAACCTATTTGGGAAGTTCTGAGTTAGGAGTAACAGTGATCTTTGATAGTATCACAAGAGGGCTGTATTCGAACTGGGGCCTAAAATCAGAGAACTGAATGACCAGGTCCTAATAGTGGAGGACACACTAGCTGAACTGCTGGCTCTGTCATACCGGAGGAAAAAGATATACACTTTGAAAGTATATATCAAGAGGATGGCGTTCTTCAGATACTTAAAGCCTGGGCAGACTGACTCTTCCAGGTTGCCGGCTAGAAGTAAGAGAGAAACTAATAAAGAATCTGGGTAAGAAGATGGTCCAAATGCGAGTATCAGAGTTGTTGTGAACCTAATAAGGGTGAAAGTAGATAACAAGTCTAATTAAAAAAGTTGGGGCTATGGATCGGGTTACGGCAGCACCCTTAAGGGGGTGGCTTGAGATATGAACTTGGTGCGGGCACAACAGGTACTAGTTAGGCAGAGGTTCAATGGTTAGCCCTGATCCCAAGTGCATGGGTCAAGCTGTGGCATGGTGTTACTGAAGACTAGGTGAATACATGAGTGGGACATATACTCTAGCAAAAAGTTGTCACCAGTTTTAGATTTGAGGCTTGGTACAATTTCACAAAAGTGGTGCGGCTATCACATCTAGGGCTTAGTAAAGCAACTGAGTGGGGTCAGATATTTCAGTAATTGTTAGTTCTAAGGTACAGGTATTTGTCGTTTAGAAATAGTTCTTATATGCTATTTGCTGACAAGCTTAGAGTTTATTACTTACTATTTATATTAGTTAGCTAGTATCATTTGTACACATGAATTAATTACTAAAATAAATACCTGGCAAGATACGCCAAAGTTAAAAAAAAAATAAATAAAAAAAATAATATAGTAAAGTTCAAAATAGCTTAATGTTCGCTTCTTATAGCAAGTAGGGTTGAACCAATACCCAAAGAGCTAATTTTTGAACAAGAAAGTACTAAAAAAGCTTTAAATAGATTCATTGAAAATAATTACAATGCATATAAAATTACTCTTTAAGCTATTATAAATGAAGTCGAAAGTAAAAGTATATAAGAAATTTAAAAAATTTTTGATATTTGAAGTAACAAAAAGCATCATATACATTTTATAGCTATAGTAAACACAGTATCTTTTTTATGTTCAAGTCTTATGTCAATTTCTAGAAGAATTGTTTGCTGTCACTATTTTTGCATTATAATGCATTTTAACATCGCAGCATTCCACATATCAATAATCCCTTCACAATAGTATAAAGACTCTTATCAGAAAAATCTAAATTATAGAAATGAGAAAATTATATTCATTCATGGAAAGAAAATTGCTAATGAAAGATGTGATAATAATAAGATTCTGATTCAAAGATTATTGGTTCTGGTTATGACTTAAACTACAAAAAAAACTCTACAAAAATGAAATAAATATAGTAAAATTTGGAAACTGGCTCGTGAAGCGATATTACTAGCAGTAGATAATAATGATAATGAAATCGGTAATATTCTTCAAAACTATATTATGAGAAAAAAAAATAAAGAAAATATGTCTTTAAGATTAAGTAAAATAAATATCAATGTAATTAAATATAAAGCAAAGCCAAATCCTAGTTGTCCTAACTGTAATCCAGCAAATTTAAATTTTGCTCTGGCAGTACAATTTTCAAGATTTTGGCCTTGGTTTCAATTTAAATATCAAGCTCAAAGTTTTTCTAGATATACTATTGATTTATTTTGGACAATTTATCAACAACCCTTTTTGAAGGATAAAAGTAAAAATTTTCATAGTTTATTAACTACTTGTCGCTATTAAGATAATCAATCATCAAAAGAATTTAGTGAAATTGTTTCTGAATTAATAGCTAAGTAGATAGCAATATCTGGCTTTATTACCATCCTATACAATTAGAAAACAATAGTAACTCTGAAACTTTTTCCACTGTAGCTATAATTGTAGAATCTACTTGTAGTAGCTCTAATTCTTCTATGACAGCTTTAGTTGCTAAATTTACTCATTTAACTAACAATACTACACACAACCTACCAACAAAAACTATAACTAATACAATTGCAACAACTACTCACAATCTAACTAATATAGTATCTATATCGAATAACATCAATACAAACACAAATTCAAACCCATATGATAAATTTTTTATAAATATTCTTTCAGATCTAAATAACATGTTTGGTCAAAGAACATCTACTCATATAACACACCAAATACCTACTTTAATAGATATGTGAGATAGAAATGATAATGAAAACAATAGACATAGTAATGAAGCTCAAAATGATACTATTACTTAACTGTATATTAATGATGGATCAAACCAAGGAGCTGACAAACACCATGTACCTATCGATAATGAACAAAACAACTATTTACAGCACGAATGAGAAGAATTTAATGCTGAAAATGCTATGAGAGCCATCATAGAAGGACTTAGACAACTTAGTCAAAATTACACGGAATGAGCTACTGCTAACACTAACCCTAAGGAATATAAACTTGTAGATTTTCCAGTCTTTTCAAGAAGTTATGATGATGACTCTGTTGAATGGTATGAGGCTTTTAATAGAACCTGTATCAGTAATAATATTTCAGAAAACTGATGCATTGCTATTGTATCTAATTTTTTAAGAGGAACTGCTTTATTCTAAAATAATCAAAACTATCATACTTTTACCTACTGAGATAGAATTGTACATGCCAATACTGCTTTTTACCAACTTTTTCTGGCTGAATTCAAAGATTCTTTTAAAGTATCTCAATGACATTATACTCTTAGAAATAGAAACAAAAACCTGGTAAAACTGTTCTGTTGATGTATATAACTCTGCTCTAGATGAACTATGGCGTAGAATAGATCTGGATAGTCTTTATCCTGAGGTTGATAAAATAAAACAATTTATTGATGGTCTTCGACAAGAATTTCAAATATCTGTATAGTCTGAAAGTCATATTACTTTAGCTGATGCAGTTAAAAAAGCTAAAGCTATAGAAGTGGCATATTCCAAAGAAAGTACACTCTCCGCTTATTTATTACTACTTACTTCACTTCAGCCACAGTTCTTTGGTGGATATACTACTCCAATGCAAGTAGCTACTCTAACCCAAGTACAAGAAAATAAAAAAACTGATGAACTTTAAGAAACTATAAATTGTTTAAATAGAAATATACAAAGTATTGCTCAAAAGCAACAATCGCAATACTGCAATTATAATAATAAAATTATAATAACAATTCCAATAATAACAACAACTATAGACCACCACAACAAAATAACAATAACAATAATAGATGCCATGGATGTGGTCAAGCTGGTTATTATGCTTCTAAATATACTGCCCTTTATTGTACAATTTGTCAGCAAATTGGGCATGGTGCACGTAACTGTAGAATAAATCAAAATAGAAGACCCAATAACAACAATTGAAACAACAATAACAATAATTATAACAATAATTATAACAATAACAATCGCAATAACAACAATAACAATTGGAATAACAACAATAACAATTAGAATAACAATAATAACAATTGGAATAATAATAACAATTGTAACAACAACAATAACAATTGGAATAATAACAATTGAAATAATAACAATAACAATTGGAATAAGCAATAACAATAACAACAACTGGAACAACAACAACAATCGTCAAAATAATAATAATAATAATAATTATAACAATAATAACCTTTCTCCAAATAACAATAATAACAACAACAATAATAATAACAATAACAATAACAACAACAACAACAACAACAACAATAACCAGCATCAACATTTAAACTAGAATTGGTATCTCCTAAGGGTGAGTATATTACCAACACAAACCCCTCATCTGATAAAGAAGTAGATCTTATTAATTTGTGGGATGAAATTGATAATAAACTTAACTTGGAAGATAATAATTATAATAAAATTAATGAACAATCAAATGATCCCTGGATAGATTTTAAAGATATTGTTGAAATACTTGGATTAAACTCTGGAGAAATTAATCTCAATATAGATGATGATATTTAAACAGATCAAGTAAAAGATGCTTTATTTACAATTGCTAAAGTTTTAAAAGTAACTATTAATGTTTTGGTTGATACTGGCTCTAAAGGATGTGTTGTTGCTAAACATTTCCTTGATCGAGTAAATTATAGTATTGATAGACCAAGTAATGTTCGAGTTGTCGACATTACTAGTAACAAATCAACGCCTTTAGAACAAGTTAAAAATGTTTCTGTCTTACTTGGTGCTAAACTTGTATATATGGATATGTTGGTAACTAAGTCAAAAGAATATAACATAGTTCTTGGCAATAAATATTTGGATAAAGTTCAAGCTACTATTGATTATTATAGTGAAGTTATGAGTATTAGAGTTGCTGATCAAATTAAACATATTCCAATATCTTGCAAGCAACGAATAGAGAATCCTAATACTATATATCCTATAACATTTAAAAACATCTACTCTAATCAAGAATTAGAGTTGGAATTAGAGGAAGAAGATATAACTGAACCAACGTATACTACTATTCAAGTTGGTAACAATTTTACACAACTGGAGGACCAACTTATAGCCAATGTCAAAATAGAGAATATTAATAATCCTCTCCAACATCAACCAGATAATATATTTAGACTTATACAACTAGAAATAAAGGAAATAAAAGAAAGTCAAGAAGAAAATCAGAAAATATCTATCCCTATTACAGAAGATAAATCAACTTTTATTGGCCATACTCTTGATAACCAACAACAACAAACTATAATTTAATTACTTTTGGATAATGCTGATATATTTGCTACTGAATTTTCTGAACTATATAAAACCAATATTGTATATCATACTATTCACACTAGCGATTCCTATCCTATTAAACAACAAGCTTATAGAGTATCATCTATGAAACAAGAATATATTAAAAAAGAAATCAAACAAATGGAAAAAGATGAAATAATTTGAAAATCTGAAAGCCCTTGGAGCTCTCCTGTTGTGCTGGTCAAAAAGAAAAATTAAAAACTAAGATTTTGTGTAGATTTTAGAAAATTAAATTTCAAATACAAAAAAAAAAAAAAAAAAAAAAAACTTTTATTAGACAAAATACCAAAAATAACAATAGATTATTATTTTATTTTTTTTTATTCAATAATTTTATTAGATATAATATTTTAAAAATTTATTAAAAAGAGTAAAATTGATGCAAAAAACAATAATAAAAAGAGTGACCACCTCCTTCCAAGTAAAACCCTGACTATTTTCCAACTTCTCAATTCTACTCTGCAACACCCAATTCTCCATCCACAGTACTTGATTCTCCAATGCCAAATTCGAGACCTGAACCATTAAACTATTCTGCTCTAGCCGTATTTGTCTAAGCCACAAATTAAATTTGTGTTCTCGATGTGCAACTTCATTAGAGTCAAACTCTTGCAACCAAGCTTGCAAGTTAGCGACTTGGTTCGTAAGGCATTAGATTACGGCCAAAACAGATTGATTTTGAGAGGTTCGAGGCATCTAAAAAAAATTGACAAGCTAAAGTCGTAAGAAAAAGAATACTTTTTCCAAGTGATATACTTAAAAACGAGAGTAAAAGAAAGAAAAAAAAAGAGGAAATGACAAAGGGAAAACTATCTACTGAGGCCTGTGTTCAATCATAACAAGTATAAAGATACCAGCTCACTCAGATGTAGAAAACCGGCGGTTGCCTCAAAAGGTTTAGCTTACAGTTCAAAAAGTATATACACCTTCAACAAATTACAAGTAGCAAGATAGGCAAAACAAAAGAAGTTTTCTACAAGATTTTAGCTAAAAAGTAAAGAAGAAAAAGTATTAGACAAGAAAGTTTTAACAAAAAAGAAATTTTTTAAAAAAGAAAACATAGAAGTAAAAAAGTATCAGGAGGAAAACTTGGTTGCAAAAATTTTAAAAACTAGAAAACAGAAAAATTTAGGATATAAATAGAGTTGACTAATAGACAAATTTTTTCACAGAAAAATTTTTTTTCTTTGCATGGTGTTAACAAAGAAAATCACAAACAAAAATGATGTAATTAACAAACTTGAAAACCAAGGAACAATTTAGAATATGAAAACTAAATTTCATACAACAACAATGTGAATTTTCCTATGCCAAGAAAAAAATTGTCGCATGGTATTAACAAAAAAACACAAACAACAATGATGTGATTTACTAATTTTGGAAAAAGATGAACAATTCCAAAAGCAAAAGCTAATTTTAGTACAAAAACTGGTTAAAGTTTGAAGATTGGGCAAAAGAAGAATTAAGAATTTCGTAAAAACATATACAATATGGGAATTTCAACAAAAAAAGATCATAGTAAAACCAAACGAATACATTATATGAACAACACTACATCAACAATCAAAACATGTGTAGATATTCAAAATTAGTTAACTTTGTTTTAATTTATTCTATTATCTTATATTTATATTATTATTATTATTACAGTATCGGACAGCAAAAACCATCCATTTTTTTTTTTAGGGTGCCAAATTTGAGAATTTTATAACAATTCTGATTGGCTAATTTTTGTGTAACAAAATTTTGATTGGTTAAAAATATAAAAATGATTTTTTTATATAATAAGCGCCAAATTTTGGATTTTTAATAATAAATATTAACCAATTAAATCACGAGCACATGTTTTGCATCAACTTGATTGGTCGATTGTTCTGCGCCAAATTTTTGCTTTACTATTAAAGTTGCTGAACTTTAAACCCTTATAACTTCTTTAAAAAGCAAGATATCAAAAATCTGTCTTACAGATTTGTAGTTTAGATTACAAATAAAAAATTTGTAAAACGGATTTTTAAAATAATTATTTGTTGTGAAGTTATTAGATTTTAAACAATGCCAAAAAAAATAGATGGTTTTCGCTATCCGGTACTGTACAAACTATTTTACTAAATTCTTAAATTTTATGGAATAAAATTTTTGAAGGAAAGAATAGTATTATATTACAATATTTTAGTGTTAGTATAGTTATACAAATTACTATTTATAGCCTAGTTTAAGTACTACAATTTAAAAGTATACTATTAGATTTATTAGTAGACTTTTTACTGTTTTATAATTGAAGTTATATTAACATAGTAACTTGCTATAATACCTTAATATAGTACTTTGCTATAATACCTTAACATAGTACCTTAGCATAGTACCTTAGCATAGTATCTTAGTATAGTATATTAGCATAGTACCTTAGTATAATACTTTAGTATAGTACTTTGCTATAGTACCTTAGCATAGTACCTTAGTATAGTACCTTAGTATAGTACCTTAGCATAGTACCTTAGCATAGTACTTTAACATAGTATCTTAGCATAGTACCTTAGCATAGTATCTTAGCATAGTATCTTAACATAGTACCTTGGCATAGTATCTTGGCATAGTACCTTGGCATTAAGGTATGTAGCACAAAGGTTAAAGACATGCCACCGTGGCATGCTAATGATAGCATACCATTGGTATGCCAAAACCTAAATTATCTATAGGTATGCCACTTATATAAGAAGAACCAAGTCATATGATAATCAATCAATCAAATTGTGAATTTTGAAAATTCAGATTTAGTTCTAAAGCTGATCAAACTAGCATATTAATCTTTTCTCTCTATTTCAGTATTAGCAAGATAAACATTTATATTTTACATTTAAATTAGCTCTATATACTCCATCAACAGTATACATGTGAAATTTTCATAATTTACCTAAACTTATATATACTCTTCTAAATCTTGTTAAAATTTTTTAAACAAATAGTAAAATGTATTAATTTCATGATCTAAACTACGCAGGTATTTTTAGATTTTACTTGGGTTATATAATTGCTAAAGGCTTGACTGATTTATGTATTTAATTATCACTAAAGTACTATATGAATTTATTACAAGATTTACTTTATACTTTAGGCTTTATATACATTTACTTTTTCATATACTCAAAGATTTTTACAAAGTTATTACTAAACTACTAAACTTCTTTTTTACTTTTTCAAATTTTAAATTTTACTGAGTTTACTTTATTTGAGATTAGAATTCACTTTTTATACAAAATTAAAACTATGATAAAAACTTTTATTAATTATTATCAAAATAATATTGTTACAAAGTAGGTTGTAACACAATATAACATTAGCATAGTATAGTATAGATTATATTTTATAAATGTATTATTATTATATTAGTTATATTTACTTAGTATTAGTTATTATATTTTATATATCAATATTTATTATAGTAGTTTTAGAGACGTTATTGGCTAGAGAACTGAGGCACAGTAATGCTATACAAAGTACCTCTCAGTACCTGCACACAAGTACCTCTCAGTACCTGCATATAAGTACCTCTCAGTATCTGCACACGAGTACCTCTCAGTACCTGCACATGAGTACCTGTCAGTACCTACATACAAGTATCTCTCAGTACCTCCACATGGGTATCTCTTAGTACCTTTATACGGTACCCCTCAGTACCTTTGCACAAGTACCTTTTAGTACTTTTTACATGGTTTGGCAGTTATACTATTACACCTCTTATGTGTAGAAAAGTTATAAAAAGGGAGCCTTTGCCCCTTCTGCTCAAGTTAGAGTTCTCTACCCTCTCATAGAATCTAACCTTACCTAACTACCCTTATTACCCTTCTTATATTTGTATAGTGTAATATTCTCTCTTTAGGTTATTCCTATAGTAAAGGATATTACTGTAAATCTGTCATTTAATAAATATTATCATCTCTATAAACTGTTATTATCTTGAACTGTTTGCCTTTTGCTGTGAAGTAAAAGTATACACTTCATGTCCACCCATGTATATTCATAAAGTATATCACTGCATTGGGTAACCTTGTTACTTTGCTATAACAATACCAAAAAGGCTATAGCATTGTAATATTTTGGTGACTTCTGGTGGAAAGCCGAAATATTCAACCAAAAATCCAAACCCTACCCCAACTCCTTCTTAAATAAACCACCTCTCTTTAATTGAGTTTCTAGCCGACAAGTATAAAATCATAGCAGATTTTATTAGGTCTCTCCTAGGAATTATCTCTCTTGGATTGTTTCTTTTGGATTTCAACTCTTCTTTGAAAAATTATTGCTGGATTGGCTATTGAAAAAGCAATATTAAAATTAAATTATTAAAGATATAAAACTACTAACTTTATTGTAAAACTTGGAGAGTTTATATTTTATCTCTTGCAAGTAGCCAGCAAATTAAATTAAATTATTATTGCATGCTAAATTAAATTGTATTTGAAATTGTTACTTTGACGTCATTACTTGTTATAATTGTTTTAATCTTTTCTTTCTTCTTTCTATTATTATATTATTTATTATTTTACTATCTACCTCGTTAATAATTATCTCTGGAAGATAATTTCTTTTTGCAAAATTGCATTACTACTAAACTGCTTGAAGTTTATTTTCTTTTATAGGAGATTCTGTAACTAGATTTCATAACCAGAATATTATTAATCACAAAGCCCAACATACAAATTTCTTTGCTCTTGCTATTGATATATTTCAATATAACATACCTGATCTATCTTGTTATATTTGCTCTCCACCTCTGTGAACAAGCCCTCATACTCCACTAGAAATTTTCTGGGAGTGGTATTCTGATACTTATTACGCTGAATTTCAAACTCACAACACCCAAACAAATTTCTTAGTACTAGGAACTATATATAATTCAACTAAAGCCCGAGTTGCTGCCAGGAATATTATTTTTAGTTGCTGCTATACTCAGGATATTG